CCCTTGCGAGACTTCAACCAGCTATAAGTACCTTTTCCTCCAACTCCCAAGGGCTTAGATGATGAAGCCGAGGATGATGACGCCGTGACTGATGGTGCCGATGAAGAGGAGATCGTTGTTGGGACCAAGTCCTCTACTCTGAATGAGCAAGTCCTGGACTTGACTCAGGATGAGGAGGATGAGATCTCCAAGAGTGCCTCTCCCAAGAAGAACTCCAGTTCCGAAGCCAAGGTCCAGACCGCCGAGAAGAGCTTTGACCAGACTTTTCTTGAGATCGATGCTGAGATCGAGGCCGAGAAGACTACCGAGAAGCTTTTCCAGCTGTTTGTTGAGGCCGAAACACCTTCAACAGCCGAAACAGAACAGTCTGAGCTCAATGCACAAGATCCTAGTACTTAGAAATTTTGTTTTCCATTGTACTTTTTGTTTTGTTTATTTGAACAAGTTGTAATAGTTTTTGTTTTAATTGGGCCGAAGTGCCACCTCTGTAACTGAACAAATAGTCTTCTATGCTAGGCCGAAGTGCCCTTTTTGTCTGTAATTTTGAACAAGTTGCTTCTATGAATGCATGCTTCTTTTTCTCTAAGTGTTGAATGTATGCTTCCATATATAGAATATTTTTGCACTTCCACCACTTTCTTCCTAGTACACCTTGACTGTGTAATCACTTCGGGTTAGAGTACCTTGGATATAAACCTTGACTGTTTGTCTTGGCCAACACTTGGAATACCTCGACCAACACTTAAAAATATTTTGAAATATTTTTACAAGTGCTGTTTCTTAAACTTATTTAGTCAAGTATTGCTTCGTTATTTCCATCAAGACTTCACCCTTCCAACCTTTCCAAGCTTGACAACCTGGTTGGTCATCTCGGGTAATATGTACCTCGGATACTTCTTTCCTCATTACCTCGGCTAACTTTAACTTGTAAATTGTTCTGAAATTTCAACAAGTGCCCAAGGTCTCAAACTTATTTATCATTCCTCTGCTCCCTGCCTTCTAATGTGAACCTAAGTTTCACTTAAGTTCACATTATGCATTTATGGCCTTTTGTCGAATTTAGATTCAAACAAAAACTAGCCAAGGTGTTTGACCTTATTTTCTCTGTTAATCTAACTAAAGCGGGCTTAGTTCCATTCTAAGTTTAACTCTGCCGACATGGCAAGTTTGGGTTATTTCAACTTAGTTTAACTCTATTAAATCTAAATTATTTGTCATGTTTCATTCAGAAACATTGTCATAGGACTGGTCAGTCCTATCGCACAAATTTCAAATTCATAAAAATCAAACCAGCATTTTATTATTACTTCAGCTAATAAAATTATGACATAAATTTCGAAAAACAAAAAACTAATGATAAAAAAATTTAAGGTTGCAAGTGTTCCAAGGTCTTGGAAACTCTTTGCCATCAATGTCTTCAAGCCGATATGCCCCACTGCTGACAACCGAGATGATTCTATAAGGCCCCTTCTAGTTTGGGCCAAGCCTGCCCTCTCTAGGATCCTTCTTGTTGCCGACAACCTTCCTTAGGACAAGGTCCCCAACTTTGAACTCTCTTGGGTTGACCTTCTTATTGTAAACCCTAGCAAGCTGCTGCTGGTATACCCCTAACCAAATTGCTACTTTATCCCTTCTTTCCTCCAGCAGGTCCAGATCTCGAGCCAGGAATGTCTTGTTAGTCCCATTCTCTACTCCCTGGGTTATGATTCCAGGGATGCTGACTTCCAATGGGATAACTGCTTCAGTGCCATAAGCCATGGCAAAAGGAGGCTCCCCAGTTGATCTTCTCGGCGTAGTCCGACATGCCTAGAGCACATTGGGCAACTCCTTCACCCACTTCCCTTTTGCTACTTCCAGTCTCTTCTTGATCTCATCCAAGATAGTCTTATTGGATGCTTCTGCTTGACCATTGCTCTGAGGAAAACTTGGAGTGGAGTAGTAGTTCTTAATTTTGTACTGTACACAGAAGCTTTTGATTAGCTTACTGTCAAACTGTCTACCATTATCTGCTATTATTGCCCTTGGGATCCCAAACCTGGGGATGATATTCTTCCATATAAAGTTCTTCACATCAATATCTCGAATCTTCGCAAGGGGTACAGCCTCTACCCACTTCGTGAAGTAGTCAGTTGCTACCAGCAAAAACTTTCTCTATCCAGTTGCTCGGGGCAGTTGTCCAACAAGATCCATGCCCCACTGGGCAAATGGCCAACGGCTGGATATTGGGTTCAAATCTACTGCTAGTTGATGTATCAAAGGTGCAAACTTTTGACACTTCTCTCAATTTTTGACATAGGCTTTAGCATCTTTCTGCATGTAAGGCCACCAGTACCTCTGAGTGATGGCCCTATGAGCAAGTGATCTGCCCCCAGCATGGCTTCCATAGACTCTTTCATGGATCTCATACAGAAAGTCCTCAACCTGGGAGGGATGTATACATCTCAAAAGGGGCCTAGTGAAGGATCACTTGTAGAGATGGCGAGCTGCTGTGAGGTTGAACCTGGCCGACTTCAATTTGGTCTTGTGTGCCTCTTTTTGGTCGTCTGGCAGTTTGCAATCCCTAAGGAACATCACTATTGCATCCATCCAACTCGGACCCATCTCTACACATAGTGCCTCATATTCTATTATTAGAGGTTCCACACTTGGTCCTGCCAAGTAATCAATCATGATTGTCCTTGGCTCCCCTGACTTTATTGCACTAGCCAGGTTGGCCAAGGTGTCAGCGTGACTGTTGTCATCTCGGCTAACTTGCTGTAGCTGGCAATCTTGGAACAAGGAAAGCAATCTGACAACCTCTTTCACATAGGCTATCATTTGTTCATCTCAGACTGTATACTCGCCTGTTGCCTGATTCACAATAAGTTGGGAGTCACAGAAGGCTACCATCTCATCGGCCTCCATTGCTGTTGCCAACTTCAACCCTGCAATTAGTGCCTCATACTTTGCTTCATTGTTTGAGGCCTTGAATCCCAGATGAATAGACTACTCTATCATTCACCCATGTAGCGATACTAACACTACTCCTGCCTCTGCTCTTTGACGGTTTGAACTTCCATCAACAAACAGGCAGAAAGAGATGCTAATGTAGATGTCACAGGGTTTTGGTTTCTCTTCTTTCGTCTGTTTTGCTAGAGTGGGGTTCTTGGGCCGCAGTTGGGTTTCTTCTTACTCTCCTGGGCATCACAAGACGCCGCTCACCGGAGTCTAGTGCAGGATGACACCAGGGGTGAACTCGGCCACAAAGTCGACGAGAACCTGGCTGTTAATTGCTGTTCTGGGCCTAAACTCCAAGTCATATTGGCCCAACACTACTATCCATCTGGCTGCCTTGTCTATCAGATCTCTTTGCTGCAATAGGGACTTCAAAGAATGCTTAGTCAGTACCACAATCTTATGGGCTTGGAAGTAGTGATTCAGTTTTTTTGAAGCCATCACTAGGGCTAGTGTCAATTTCTCCAAGGATGAGTACCTGGTCTCTGCACTTGCTAGGGTTTTACTCACATAGTATATGGCCCTTTGCTCTCCCTTGTCTTCTCTGATTACCACTGCACTCATTGCATGCTCTAAAATTGCCAAGTATAGGAGAATTCTTCTCCAGGTATTGGATTTGACAGAACTGGAGTTGTTATTAGGTACTTTTTCAAGTCTGCCAAGGCGACTTCGCACTCTTCCATCCATAAAAAATCTGTGGCCTTCTTCAACAAACTAAAAAATGGTTTACACTTATTAGAACTTTGGCTGATAAGCCTATTCAAGGCTGCCGCCTTGCAAGTCAAAATCTGGACCTGCTTGGCTGACGTCGGGCTCTTTAAGTCAAGAATGACCTTGATTTGATCTGGGCTTGCCTCAATGCCGCTTCTGGTAACCAGGTATCCTAAGAACTTACCAAACCCAACTCCAAATGCACATTTCGAAGCATTGAGTCGGAGCCAATATGTTCTTAGGATATCAAAAACTGCCTTCAAATTGATGATTCCCAGGTTCTTTGGTCTTCACAACCATGTCATCAATGTACACTTCTACTATTTTGCCAATTAGATTTCTGAACATCTTTGTCACCAGCCTCTGGTAGATTGTTCTTGCATTTTTCAACCTGAAAGACATCACTTTGTAGCAGTACAACCCTTTTGGGGTGATAAATGCAGTCTTCTCCTTGTCAGAGGGATACATTGCTATCTGGTGGTTTCCTCTATAAGCATCCAAGAAGCTCATCCTTCCATGCCCTGAAGTAGCATCCACCAACTGATCAATCTTGGGGAGTGAGAAACTGTCCTTGGGGCAAGCCTTACTCAGGTTGGTGAAGTCAACCTAAACCCTTCACTTACCGTTCTTCTTTTTCACAATCACTATGTTGGATAACCAAGTTGGGTAGTTCACCTCGTGAATGGCTTTGGCTTCTAGCAGTTTGTACATTTTATCCTCACTTGCATAAACATGCATTAATGTCGGCCTCTTTGCTCATTGGATGACAGGTTTGGCTGACCTTTCTACATTAAGCATATGGCATGTGACCTCGGGGTCAATGCCTGGCATCTGATACGGTGTCCAGGAAAATACTTCTATGTTGGCCCATAAGAAAGTCTCTAACTCCCTTTCCTCCTCGTCGGCCAATCTTGAGCCTAGAAGGAAAAAGCGCTCTTCATCCCCTTCTTGGACCAGAATTTTCTTCAGGGCTTCCTCGCTCTTCTCGGCCTGTTCTTTGCTAGGATCATCCAGAACTTCCATGTTCCCGTCCTCAATTTCCATTTTTTCTACCTCTTGCACATTACAGTTGGATTTCATTGTTGCTATGGAGCAATTCTTTGCCTACACTTGATCCCCTTTGACTTCCTCAATCCCCTGTTCAGTTGGAAATCGAAATAACTGGTGCAACGTTGAGGAAACAACCCTCATTGCGTGCAGCTACAGTCTTCCCAATATAGCATTGTAAGGGGAGGGGGTATCAATTATCGTTAATTCTATGCTAATATTCCTGGTGCTTGCCTGCACCTTCAAATTTATTGCTCCCAGAGGCCATGTTGGCATTCCATTGAACTCGACCATTGGGCCATTTGATTGCTCCAAATCATCTCGTAAAGGCCAGGCTCCTTGTGACATCTAACATACATGATGTCACAAGAGTTGCCTTGGTCGATCAGTATACGCCTTACCTGACATTCTCCAATCTTGAGGGTCACTACTTGAGCATCATTGTGTGGATGTTGCACCACGTCTAGGTCTGCTTTAGTAAAGAACACCATTGGTCCTTGGTACACGTTTGTCCTGGGCCTCTTTTGTTGGACCTGATACACATGCTGTAGGTGCCTCACCTTTTGGGTCTCTCCTCGCATATCATTCTCTTTAACCCTCGAATGAATCACGTTTATCACCCGAGGTTCTGCTTGTTGTGGTTGTGGCGGCGGTGGTGGTGCCGCTGGTTCTGGGGGAAGCCTTGCATGCTCTTTTCTCGTTCTGGCCTCATCTATTAGGTCTCTTAAGTGACCCTGTCTGACCAGATCTTCCAATTGCGTCTTTAGGGCCCTGTACCCCTGAGTCTGGTGCCCAATCTCATTGTGGTAAGCGCAGTGCTTCCTAAGGCTGCTTCTCATGAACTCACCGGGAACCTTCTCTGGCGCTCTATAATACGGTTAGTTCCTGATTCTTTCTAGAACTTTATAAACTGGGATCCAGAACACAGTGGTGACTGGCTGTGTAGCACTCAGCTCTGTTTCCTACCTGTTAATACTAGTATTACCTTGGCCTCGCTTCGGTGAGCTGTTTCTCTTCTCCTATTTCGGCGTCTTTGTTCTTGGCGTATCCTCTTCTGCTCTGGCATATTTCTCGATCCGTGCCATGAGCTCCTCCAGACTCTTTGGTAGAGTTTTTGCTAGTGACTTTTGAAGCGGACATTCATCCTCTAGGCCGTTCTTAAAAGACACGACTGCCAATTCCTTGTTGCATCCCGATATTCGGTTGAACATCTCATAATATCTTTTGGCATAAGCCTTGAGGCCTTCACCCTCGCTAATTTTCAAAGCCATCAGGGAGTCTACCCTCAGTGGCTGCAACTTGTTTGTAACAAACCTGGCTATAAACATCTTGGCCAGGCCTTCCCAACTCTTCATAGTTACTTTCAGCAACTTGCGAAACTAATCCGATGTGATTTCCCCAAAGGATGAGGGGAACACCTTGCACAGCAACGGTTCGTTCCCAGTATACAAAGCCATTGAATTCAGATATAAGCCAAAGTAAAAGTTCGGATCGGACTCACTGTCACAAATTTGGAACCTCGGCATATGAAACCTTTTTGGGGCTTAAACCTATCGAACTTCACTAAGAACGACGTTCTCGGCTTGACGGGGGATGTGATCTCGGCATGCATTCTGCCACTTCCTCTGGAGGTAGTTTCTCAAATCCTCCTTAGTCCGACCAGGAGTTCGGCTATCAACAGATTACAGTCTTTTTGGTGTGTTATTCCCGGTGTCGTTATGTGTCCTCTTGGACTTCTCTTCATTCACTATGTCAAAACATAGGCCCTTCTCCTGGATATTCCGAGGTTCTTTGACATATGTTTCTTGGTACGAGTTGTCCTCTGTGAGTTACCTCTGACTGACTTACCTCGCCCGACATCCCGTGAAGGCCAATGTGAGGGCTCATTTTCCTTGCCATGCTGCGGGACTGCTGGGATTGTTTTCTGCCCCCCTTTCTGGACATCAGTCTTGGCCCCTGGCATCTGCGTGTCCTACAATAGAAACAGTGGTCGCATGACGTTGTTCTACATCATGAAGTTGACAACCGATTGTAGATCTGCCAACTTGTTGGCCATTCCCTTCATCTCGCCGCCCCTCATTAGGCATCTATCCTTCCAGACCTGGAGGTTGCTCTCGTTGTAATACTCATCTTGGCCTACTTTCTTTGGGGCGTTACCCTCATTGCCGACATCCTTCATCACAAGATTCAGATCTTGTGCTCATTCATCAAGGTTTTCCACTCTTGCGTTAGGGTCTGTATGTTCACCACTAGTGTGGATGTCATCTCCAATCTTTTTTTTCTGCCCGTCGTTGGCTATCTATTCTCCTTACGTTCCCACAGACGGCACCAAATTGTGGGTGTTGATTTTTGACCTCACAATCAAACGGGGAACTCAGCTGGAGAGCATTGGCAGAATAGATTAAGCCCGAACAACCTGTCATAGAAAGATAAGAATCTAGCGGTGGTTCATCCGCCTAGGGTCACTCCGGTGCTCAAGTCAGTAATCCAAATATCTCTCAAAGATAGAAAATTGTGCTTAACTCACAATATAGAACTTACTGCTCACAATATCACACACAAACCTGAGACCCACGGGGGTGCCCTGCTTTTATAGACAGCACTGACCTGATCCCTGTAGAAGCCTCTCTTCAGTGGACTCAGGCTCAATGCTCATCTTAGACTCTCAATTAGATAGGGATAAACTCCCTTAGAGCTTTATCTTTATCCAGACTGAGATCCTCTCTTGTTCTAGGACTCTTATCCCTTATCTGCTCATCTTGGATTCCGATATCTCTCCAGATAACCTCGGCCTAGCCAAGATCATCTCGGTGCGTGACCAAGCCACGTGGCACCTCGGTTGACACTTCGGCGCCACCTTAGTCACGTGCTGTCATTCATAAAATGTGTCCCCACAGATTTGTAAACCCAGTCGAGCGGAAATATCCAGAATAGACAAACCATGGGCCATAAATGGCTTTTCATACGGTTGTACAGTTTCGGTATGAAAAAATTATCAATATATCGTAATAGTTAAATTTAATTTTTTATCAAATCTTATTAAAAATAAGTTTTAATAAAATTATCGCTAAAAATAATTTTTTTTGATCACTTTTAATATATGTCACTAAAAATAAATAATTAGTGACTTTTTTATTAAGATTTTTATAAATTGTCGCTAAAATTTATAATTAGAGACGTTTTTCTGTGACAAAATTTTCAAATTGTCGTTGAAAGTTACAAATTAGTGACATTTTTTGTAACGCTTTTTTAAAACTTTTGTTAAAATTTATAATTAGTAACATTTTTTGTAATAAATTTTAAATTATCGTTGAAAATTAATAATTAGTGACCTTTTTTAATAGTGTTTAATGAAAAATGTTATTAATTGTCATAGGACCTATTGAATAATATATCCACTTATTAAGATTTTCACGCAAGTCCTCTTAATTTTGAATAAAATAAAATAAATTAAAATCATCGACTAAATCTTTTTAATCGGATTGGAATTTTTTTTTCTTAGTTGTCAATTTACTCATTTTTAAATTAGCGAGTTATTTAAATGTGAGCAAATTACCCACAAGTCCCGTTTGGAAAATGTGTAGTCTATTTAATCCCAAAATTTTTTAGATAGACTCAAAAGTCCTATATCCATTTATCTTCTCCTCTCATCCCTACACCTTATTTCTTCTCTTTATCTCTCTTTCTCTGATATCAGTGGCGATGACGATGACCATGAGCACGACTACGCCCATGCCCATGCCTTCATTCTTTTCTTTCTCTTTCTAATCTACAATCGCCGGCGACCAAAATTGATTGGGGTTCACGGGCGACCACTGAGCATCAACTCCTTGCTTCGTGCTTACCGATGGCAAAAGAGATAAATTTCAAGGAAGAAGATGAGTATATCTACACAAATTTGATGTAGACCTACTCAGATACGTTAGATTTAGTTAGATCTAAACCAAAAAATAGTTGATGGAGTACAAGTATTTCTCTATATTTGTCTCTTTCCTTAGATTTCTCAGTTTTAATACTTTGTCTGTACTACACATTTCTATTTTCTTGTTACAGGTGGTGAAAACTGTAAAATTTTACAATTTCATTTTTTTTTGTGTGTGTTGAAATGAATCATTCTTTAGAACTGTAAAATTTTGTGGTTTCATAACATGTTTTTTTAGTTTAATTAATGAGAATAAATACTTAATAGAATCATACTTTGAAACTATAACATTTTGTAGTTTCAAAACTTGCTTTTCAGTTTGATCAATATTGAAAATTATTTATTTAAATCCTACAAAAATTGAACATAACATATGTTTTTTTTTCATTGTTCCTGTTTGTTGTTCTTAGTTATTTATTTATTTATTTTTATTTATTTTATTTTTTTTCTTCTTTCAGTTTATTAATATTTAGCACATTTTGCTATGTTTTTTCATTTTAATTTCTCAGTTTATTCTTCTTCTTTTTTTTGGCAACATTCTAAACATTCCAGTGAGTCTCCGACGTTATTATTCATGTCCAGTGAGCATTCTAGACATTTCGACGACTTCCGGTGACGTTCAAAACATTCCGGTGATACTCCGGCAAATTTTGATGATATTCCGATGACTTTTCGGTAATGTTGAACATTCCGACGAGTCTTCGATGACCGTTTGACGAAAATCTGGTGGTGATGGGATGTAGCAGCGTCTTTAAAAAAAAAATGATTTTTTGGTAACAATTAAAAATATATAGAACTAATTGGTGCAAGTATTTTATTTTAGAACTAAATGAATTTTGAATTGTGTATGGGACTTATAAGTTAAGTTCCCCTTTAAATATTTTGACAGTTTCAAATTAATGATTTGAGTTGGTTAGACATATTAGAATTATAAAATGAAACAGAATATGAGTGAAATTTATTTGTTTTATAATTTCAAAAAAAAATTTTAGATTAAATTAAACCCACCCCCTTGAAATAATATATATATAATATTAGTCTTACACTTTTGATATAATTACATTAGTTATCGTCTAGTAAGATTAAATTGTAATTAATACAGATGGTGGGTAGACACTTAGACCTCGTTTGACAACTTTTAGTTTTAGTCAAAAAGTCATTATAAATTGTTACATCACTCTCTCTACTTTTTTGCATATCTTTTAGTAAAAAGCTAAAAAATTATTAAAATATCTTATTTCTAAACGAGGCCTTAATTAGACAATGACTGATATACATTTTACTAAAAAAGAGATGATAACATCATTTTTTTTTACTCATACGACTTACAAAATTATTGATAAAAATAATCTAACTGTTATGTAAATTAAAACTTCAAGGCAACCAGCCTCTTAAAGCTGTGGGGTCAACTATATTTGTTTTAAGTTTTCAGAGAAATGCGTGTAATTTACACAAAATTCTATTAGTTATTCTAAATCCTAATACAAAATTTACAAATTTATTAATCGTATCATGTTATTTAAAATCATATTTCACAAATTAATATATAAAAAAATAAAATTAGAAATATATATATAATGAAAATGAGAGTTGGGTGTTATCCTATTTGAAAGCAAAATATTCATTTGAGAAGAAACAGAAGAGAGAAAAGAGATTGTATTCAATTGATGTCATTACAATACAAAGCTATGGGTATACATATAGGACTACGAGGAGTGTTGTACAAGGGAAAGAATAAGAAAAGGAAAGAACAAATACGAACATACCTAATAGGGAGGTGCCTATAATCTAAATATGGAATACAAAGAATAATATATATATATATATCTCATATATTAACGTCCCCCCTCAAACTCAAGGTGACAAGGTAGAAATCAACTTGAGTTTGGAAACCAAATCTTGGAAACGTCCAGGTGG